TAAATTATATTTAATAACAGACTAGCAAAAAAAAGTCATTATACATGGGGTATGGGGTGAATTTTCAAATAGCTTATAAAGTGTAATTAATCATTGGCTCTACCACTTTTTCTTTCCTTTTCAGATCAAATACTGATCTCTGTTCAGCCTTAACTATACCAAGCCAAAACCATTAGTGCCTGTGTTTTATCCAGATTTTTCCCCAGAGCACCTTGATAGGTTATTTGACAGACTGACCATATTTTAATTCATGTTCCAAAAGCCAAATTCCTACTTAGCCTTTTACCTTTCAGGCGTTATTGTAACTGCTTGCCTTTCTGGAGGGAATGACATTTTCTCTGGCAGAGAAAAATGGAAAAATGCATTAGTTAGCGCTTAGTAGCTTACAAAGTTATCTTAGAGCTTTGCAGCATGTACTACAGTCTCCTGTGCACCAAAAGGTATTTTGACACCTCCTCAATTGGTGTTTTTTGTGACCTTTTATCACAAAAATAGATCAAAACTGAGCTCCAGACACTTTGTTCGGAGCCACAGTTTGTATTCAGAAAGACCAGAGGCTTATAATATGCTATTCCATCTGGGGCTTATTAAGAATAATTTCCCCCTGTTTACACTTTGAGATTAGTTTAGAACTTTAAGGCTGTCATTCCATTTTTAGTTTTCACACACTTAAAAAGGAAGGTTAAATACAGAGGTGACAGGAAATTTGGGACCAAGTTGTGGTAAAACTCTAGAGAAAGAAACAAGTGTGGCATATTACAGTCGTGATGTCAAGAATAATACAACTTTAATAAAGCCAAGACTATATAATTTGCCACATTTGCATGGAGTGGAGTCTGCAGGTTAGCAATGCTTACTTATACAGTTCTTAATGTACTCAACATTTCTTAGAGCATTTTTCTAAAACAACAAGCTAGTTGTTTTAGCTTAGTGCCATTACACACGAGTGACTAGAACAGAAGGACAACATGCGGAAAGAGACAAATAATGTGCCTTCCCAGGGATCTCCATTTGGACATTAATAGCAAACAAAATCTGTTGTCCACCTGAAGAATTGGCATCCTGGCCTGTCTCAGAAATAGTGTGGCCAGCAGGAGCAGGGAAGTGATCATGCCTCTGTACTCGGCACTGGTGAGGCCGCACCTCGAATACTGTGTTCAGTTTTGGGCCCCTCACTACAAGAAGGATGTTGAGGTGTTAGAGCGTGTCCAGAGAAGGGCAACGAGGCTGGTGAAGGGTCTGGAGAACAAGTCTGATGAGGAGCGGCTGAGGGAACTGGGGTTGTTTAGCCTGGAGAAGAGGAGGCTCAGGGGAGACCTCATCGCTCTCCACAACTACCTGAAAGGAGGCTGTAGTGAGGTGGGGGTCGGTCTCTTCTCCCAAGTAACTAGTGATAGGATGAGAGGAAATGGCCTCAAGTAGCGCCAGGGGAGGTTTAGATTGGACATGAGGAAGAATTTCTTTACTGAAAGAGTGGTTAAACCTTGGAACAGGCTGCCCAGGGAAGTGGTTGAGTCACCATCCCTGGAAGTATTTAAAAGACGTGTAGATGCGGCACTTAGGGACATGGTTTAGTGGGCATGGTGGCGTTGGGTCAACGGTTGGACTCGATGATCTTAAAGGTCTTTTCCAACCTTAATGATTCTATGATTGATTCTAATACATTTTGGTAGAATTACACAAGGTCAGTTGGCTACAATTGCAAAATGTTGGTTTTGTATGCAAACTGAAGTGCACTGTCAAACATATGAGGCAATAATTTTGCTTCGCTAATAACAGACACCATGTCTACCAACTGGGAATGACTTGAGTTCCCTACTTTAACATGACATAGCTTCGAAATCTGCTTTTCATATTATACAAGACCATGTACATTTTTTCCTCAGCATAACTTTTGTGATGCTTTTGGACACAGTTATGACTTTTAAACAATGATGCTAGCTGTTAGAAGACACCAAAAAGCATAGGACCAAAACCAATCATGCAGATAACATCACACACTAATTTTCAAGTGTGAGTTCTGAAGGGTTTAGTAAAGTCCTGCCACTTCTTTCCATAAGGAAGTACTGCACTCTTTATCCAAATCGGTTGGATAACAGGAAGATTATTTTCCTTTAGTTTCCTAAAAAATTAAGTCAGAAATATGGTTCATGTGACTCTCCTCCTAGCAGTGGATACTATTTAAAATGTTACTTTATAGGCTTGTGACCATTTCTATTGTATTATCTTAGTCTCAGCACACCATTAGAGCTTGCTAAAATCAACTACTTCTAAGTACTTCTGCTTTAATTATCATATATCAGAGGTTGCACAAATTACACCGCTACCATTTTAATCAGTGCATAAAGCAAACCTGTCACATTCTTAGCCACCATTTGTGAAGATACTATTTAGGATTTTGCTTGGACATTACCACAGTGATTACCTAAAAAGAATACATTTCCAACAACTGCGGATCTTGACCAGAAAGAAATATTTATTTCTAAAAAGATTTTTTAAAATATTTTTTAAAAATCTGTTTCACATAAAGCCTGGATGGATGGAGAGATACATGCATACCTACCTGTAATAAAAAAAAAAAAGATTACATCATCACTTATGCATTTATATTCTATCAGTCCACCCATACTATTAACATCAACAACAAATCACAATTTCTTCCATGGAAGAATTATCTTCCATTTGTTCTAAGCACTGAAATACGAAGAACAGGTGTTTGGATTTAATTCCAAATGAGAAATGCAGCTTTTTGGCATGCAAATAGTTTAGCAAATGGCTGAAATGTGGAGATTTGTTGGCCTGTTTCTGTGTTTACTTGCAGCAATACGACACTTACAGGTCGCACTGTTAAATACTAACCCCAAAACGGAGATGGAAGTGATCAAATTAACATAGTCAGATCATGGGTCAGGTCAGAACATACACACGTGGATAAGATCCTTAGGAGTACTCAGTACTAGTTTATAAAAGCTCTATTGATACACAAGAAAATCTTTCTTTGCCTCAAAGGAATTCTTTTCAAATGAAAATGAATGAGTAAGATCAATGCTAAATACTTTACAGTGCTAACTGCTAAAAGATTTAGGACTTGATTTTGTGTCCTCTAAACCCACATCGGACAAAGGTTTGACTTCAATGCTTATGTTCGTTGCTTTGTTCAGATCTGTCGTCACCCTTGTTCAGAGGGTATTTTTTTGAAGATCCTCTGTATCAGCCAGAGTTTGAGTTTTGACATGTTGGAGACTTCACAATAGGGACAAACAAAAAGTTTAACTTATCACTGATAATTTTTAAAACTAGAAGGACATATCATGTATTGTGGCTGAAAAATCATTAGGATTAAGATTGTCAGCGTATTACATCTGAATAACCAGTGGCATAGTCCCTACACAATAATATATATATAAAACAAAACCAAAAGAACCCCTCAAAAACAGAACAAAGAAGAAAAACCAAACCAAAACTAAAAGCAAAAAGCACAGAACAATAGTCTGTTTAACTTAACCTCTTGAACTTTATCATTAGGCTTGCTGTTCTATTGTTGTTGTTATGTTTTAGCTTGCTTGCTTGCTTTCTTTTTTGAGCTTACTAACAAGGCTCAAGAAGTTAAGTCAAACATTCTTCAGAGAATGAAAATACAATGGTAAAGAATAACAATAAAAAAGAAGTAAAGAGCATGGGTCAGCAAATGTAGACTGTACTGGGAGCCAGGCACCATTCCCAGCTCATCCGCTCACCCGCCATGTAATTAAGGGCAAATCTTTTCACCGCTCTAAACAATTCTGTTCTCTGTCCACCGTCTCCTTAAATTATAATTTTGTTGGCAGCCCAAAGAATAATATTTGTATATCCTCATGCACACATATACATGTGTGTCTATGTCTATATGTATGTATACACACTACATGGCACAGGAGGGCTCCGTTTAGAGGCTACAAAAAGAATAATAATCATAATATGTTATAGTTTAAACAATAAAATAGGAAATAGCCTTAGCAGATTTTTTTTTTTCCGAGTACTATTAAATGAAGGCTTTAAAAAAAAAAAAAATTCAGCACCACCCATTCTAGCCCTAAAATCTCACCAAAACCGCTGAAACAAAACCCCTCAGGTCCAAAACACACAGAATGGATCCAAATGCATCTGAATTAGATCTATTTGCCAATATATTTGTGCTCCTACCACAATAAATACCACCAATAGACATCCCTGGATTTTATTCCATAAACATGCTGATGAGCCTAAAGCAACCAAATTGAACTCATACAGGAAATCTATAAAGAAAAAGAACACCTGTCAGTGGAGGAACACTTCTCAGATAACAGTTGTTTAATTTGTAACCTCTCAGTCCTGATCCTTGAGGAGAAGCTACTTAACATCTTCCAAGGACAAGCCTGAGAACTAAGATTGACAAGTGGATATGACAAGTGGATAAATGAGATTTAATGATAGTAGTTTTATGGCACATTGTGACCTTCCCTCCTCCCTTCTTTCTTCATCTTAGGGATAGAAATCTTTCCCCTTAGGAGAATATATTACCATCTCTTTGCCATCCTGCACCTTTCTTCCTTCCGATCTCTTTCACCAAATCTACCTTACCTTTCAGAGGTGGTTCATAATTAAACTATGAGCTGACTTTTGTTTAGCTTTCAGATCTGCTGCATCTATTTCAGGGACTGAAGAGGAGCTTGAATGTCTGAACCCTTCTTTAATTTTTCCAGGTATGCTGACATAGCTAACAAATGTGTTAGATTTATCTACAAACCCCATCTTAGTTATGTCCTTCAGTCACCAGTTACCCCAAAACAACTGTACTTGGTTAATGACTTTTTTTTTTTTTTTTTTTAAAAAAGGGTATATGGTACAACCTAAATTTTTTTAGACCTCAGTTTTTATCTATACCCCTTTGCCTAGTGTTTCTTAAAAACAGGTTTAGGGCTTTCAAGAGGCTGTTAGACTAAGAGATGGTTCCTGGACTACAGATCATCCGTAGCACTCACCTTTCCACCCTCATCAAATTTTCCCACGTGAAAAAACCATTCTCGAGAACAGAACCAGGTTGGCATGATCACAGTAGGTCCATGGGAGGTAAACACCTAGGAAAAGGGTGAAAAAAGCCAGTCTTAATTAATAGAATGTCAATACCAGTATCCGTTGGGGAACAAAGTATGCATTCACCTGAATGCATATGCCTATACTTAACCTTCAGCAGTTTTAAGCACTGAGAAATGCAAGTGCTTAAAATTTAGCATGCGCTTAGTGTTTAAACTGTGGTGTATACCAGCACCTTTGAGGTGTCACAGCCAGATTAATCGACTTCCTGCTTCATATTCCATAACCTTCTCTTCTATCGTAAGTTGCAACACATGCAGAGTACTTCAAACTTTATTTCAAATTTAGAGAGGCATACTGGAAATGACACTTCTATTAATTATGGCAATGTTGATATTGAAGTGAATGAATTGAGAAGAATCTTAAAAAGTTAAAGTCCTTAAACTTAACCCTACAATTGTTGTGCATTGATTTTCCATTTTATATTCCTTATATATCTATTAAGGAAGAGCTTTCATTGATCTTTTATTTCTGCCAAAGACACTTAAATTTTAATCAAGCTTGGACAAGTAAGATGCAATTTATTTTAAACATCACCAGAGCACTATGGATTTGCTACCCAGTGGTACCTACCTTAAAAGGTTGTTGGAAAGAAAATGCTTTAGGGACTGAAAAGGGAGTGGCTATTAATTTCATCCTCTTGACTAGTGACAGCCAAGAACTATACAAATGGTTCTTTGCAGCTTTAAACAAACTTGTTGTAAACACAACTATGAAATAAACCAGAATCTGGATTACGGAAGGTAAACTGGTTCTTTCTTTTATTACAAGATGAAGTATCTAGCCAAACAAGAGACTGAACTTGTCAAACAGAATGTGCAAAGTTAAGACAGGAGACTGTGCCTGCTTCCAAAGAACTACACAGGAAATAAAGAGCACAACCTGGTTTAAAAGGGCAGAAGAAAGAACCTCACAATTACTGCCAGTGAATTACACTAATGAAAATGCTGATCTTATGAGCAGATGATTTCATAGCATGCTATAGTGGTAATGTTAATATCCCTGTATAGTTCAGATTTTTAAACATCAGTGCATGAATGTAAATTTTATCACATGCATCTAAGCATTTACATTTTAATGGTGTTCCTCTTGATTTCAACCTGGGATGGAGCTCCTTAAACTCTTCTTATGCCTGGCAACTTCAATTTCCACAGATAAACATGGATTTAAAGCCCAAATTTTACACACTCAGTTCTATACAGACACTTAGACCAACTCTCCAAGCAAATTAGATTAGAAATCTAGTAAAAATTCAACACATGAGCTACTCCCACTTTTCTTATGGCATGAATCACCTGACCAAACACAGGCATCCACCTTAGGGTGAAACACACTGCATGCTAACTCCAGGAACGTAATGATAGAACTTCACTGTCCATAAAGGGGTCCTAGGGTGACTCATCTCGATACAGACACTTAAATTTTAGGCAGTCATATTTAGTCAGAATAATCCTATCGCTTAATGGCTATGACTTAACACGTTAGCAGCTTGTTCATAACTGAAACACACTAGCTTCAGAGGTCCTAAATGTCAAGAACTCCCCCAAAAAGTCAGTGGGAGCTGAAGGAGTCAAAACAATCCCAGACTAGAGCAGACGTGATTAGTCAGTACATAGTTATTAGCTCCACACTAATTACAAGGGCAATTGAGTATGGCCTGAACCGAACAATGACCAAACAGTAATCCCAAAAGAAAACAACAGTAGGGAGAAAAGCTAGGCTAGAATGCATTGCATTGAATCTCATTTCTGAATGAAAGAAAATCTTCAAAAGAAAGTCTTGAGCCTACTGGAATACGTGAAATGTGTCTGGAGAGGCTAGAATGCCATTCCCTCAGTGCAGCCAGGTTCATCAGAGAACATAAATGCACTTAAAGATGTAGCTCAATGTAATTAGTCATGCTCACGTGCAAAGAGCATATGTCCCAAATATCTTAGATAATCTGTGTTCCATTGACATATATACTTAAGTGAAACCAAATAGAACAAATTTGAAACACTGAGAAAAAACATCAAAATGTCACTTCTGGTAACACAGATGATGACATGATGATGATTATATAGTAGACCAAAACACACTGCATACACTGATGTCTTTCCTAAATCAAACAGTGCTCTATGGCTCACTGTCCACTTCAGAGAAGATACTAGAGGGGAATCACACAGACAAAACTGAGACTGATGATGAGGTGCCTGCATTGCCACATATGATTTCAGGGTCTTATCCCTCAAGAAAATCTTTGAACCTGGAACAGTACACCAGCTAAGAGTCAATGGATCAGTAAAAAAGCTTTTTCTATATGAATATTTATAATGCAACATCAAAATAAACTTTAGGAAATCTAAATTTGTGCTGCTGCCACAATGGACAAATTCATGCTACCTCGTCCCTTGCTATGCTAACAATAACACTTGTGAAGCTGAAATTCCTTTTTTCGTTAGCTTAGTTTTCAGCTGGATCTGCTCCCTGATCCAACCAACCACAAAAACACTATTGGTACCATAAAGGAGGATGTAGGAAAACAGGGCACCAAACACAGAGGACAGCAAGACCATTCTTTTCAGCAGCAGTATAGATAATCCATAAATAATCTTTAACCTGATCGGGGGAACTGTATGCTCAAAATTTAGATTTACAGTATATCTATATCAATTTATGAGCTCTCCCACTCCTCCTGCCTCTGGCTATGCATCCCAGTCACTTACAACAGCATTGGCACTCACCTGACCCCATGGTCAGCTAGATCAGAGCACTGCATCAGTAAGAAAGCTATTATTTTCTTTTTTTTTTCGTGTTAGTTTTCTATAGCCTTAGTTCTCTGAATAGGTTCACTGTGGGGTCAGACGAGCAATACTGCTGACATACTGGAGGGGGAAGGAACAAGCTTTGGAGAAGAAAACAAGACCTCCCTTTTTGGTCATTGCCCACAGTTAATCAGTCCAGCTGTAATATAAAACTGCACCCTCTGTCTGAATACTTGCAGTGATGGGAGGAGAACTGGCTCAGTAAAAACACTAAACTCCTAACAACTGTATTGAAACAGTGCAGCATTTGCCAAACTTTTGAAAGCTACCTTCAGGACCTTTTGAAATTTCATCTTCAAGACAAAAAAACCCAACCTCAACCTCCTGCAGTTTGGAAATTCTAGATTTCAGCTTGGTTTAGAGTCAGATGGGAAAGTCTCCTCTGGATTTCTTTTTTGCCTATTCTTGTCATACACACTTCCCAAGGTGTTAAAAAATGGTCGAACTGGCTGACCAATTTATGATTTTATCCATAAATCTTTTAGATTGTGTGGACTGGAACAAGAGAAACAAAAAGCACATGCTAGCCTTAATCTGAAAATCAATCAAAAGCACAATTTGAATTATGATGCAGCTCTGTAACTGCTATGTTTGATTTTCTTGAAAACGTTCTCCAGCTCTGCCCAACAAATGTCCTGTATCACCTTGGAACCTCAATGGGTTTTCAGTCCTCCTTGAGGAGTTAATTCAGTATATTGGAAAGCAGTTTGGACCTGTGAACCTTTCACACACAGCTGTACTGGAAGATTAATGCTTAATACAGTTGTCATTAATTACAGTACACTGTATGCTGTAAAGACCATCTAAATATAATCTAGTTGAATGAAACCAACTTGTTAAAAACTAACCCCAGAGCTTGTAGATGAAGGTATAAATCTGCTCAGATTTAGAATTCTTGAAGAACACAGTGTTGTCATAACCAAATTGGAATCCATCATCATCAGTTTCCAGGTGATGGACACAGACTGCTATTTCAGCACCATACTTGTTAAATTATTTAGAACTTTTATTGTCATCTTGTTTTATTCCAACGATCAAGTAGCAAGTAATTGAAACTGATTTATTCTGGTTTGTTCTTGCTAACTGTTTAGCTATCGAATTACATTCAACTATTACAGAGAGTCTCTGAAAATAAATCTAAAGAATATAAAGAGTTGATAATGTGACTTTCATTTGTTGTGTTTCAAAGCTGTCAACAGCACATGTAATTCTGGTCCCTACTGATGCTCACTTCAGACCATGTCAGCATTCAATACGAAATTTAAGTTCCAATACTGAGAAAGGCATTCATGTGTTTATAGTAACTCTTCAAGTAAAGTTGTATTTGCTGAACCAGCAAATCAAAATCTAACAGCCATGTGCCAAAAGAATACATGCAGATGGTAAAACAACCTTATCACATTATGTGAGGAAAAATGTCTTTACTGAAAGAGTGGTTAAACATTGGAACAGGCTGCCCAGGGAAGTGGTTGAGTCACCATCCCTGGAGGTATTTAAAAGACAGGTAGATGAGGCGCTTAGGGACATGGTTTAGTGGGCATGGTGGTGTTGGGTTGACGGTTGGACTCAATGATCTTAGAGGTCTCTTCCAACCTTAATGATTCTATGATTCTATGTCATGCAGAATACAGAGAGGAAACCAGGCAGTTCACAGGAGCAAGCTATTTAATCAAGGGCCCAGACTGCTTTCCAGTGTAACAAGCTAATTCCCCAAAATACACTACACATTTAATTCTACTTATGCTATAGCATTTAAGAGAATTATATCCACACAGATCAAGGATTAGAAACAATCTCCTATGTGATGGTAAATAAAGCTTTCCAAAACCCAGGGTCATACATTAACACGTTAGAAGGTGAAAAAGAAGACAAAACAAAAAAATCAGATGGCGGAGGGCCACGATGTTTTTGTGAACTGTAGGCAGACCGTAGGCTAAAGGACATCACTCCTGACTTAGAAAAATTATGTGTTAAGATACCAGTGCATTAATTCAGCAGTGAATGTACCAGAACCTCATTACTAAAGATTACCAGGTTTACATCCAGAATCAGGTGCATGTATTAGTGCAACAGAAGAGGTACGGAACATAGGGAAGAGAAGAAAAGACTCCTTTATCCTACTTCAAAAGAGTATTAGGCAACTAAGATTTTTAAAAAAAAAGAATTACAACAAACTTTAC